AGAATAGCTCCACTGCCTTAAAAATCCTCTGTGCTCTGTCTGTTCATCCCTTCCTCGCCTTACCCCTGGCAACCACTGATCTTTTTACTGTTTCCATACTTGTGCCTTTCCCAGAATGTCATATAGTTGGAATCAGACAGTATGTAGCCTTTTCCAATTGCCTTCTTTAACTTGCTTTCATGTTCTTTAGTAATATGAATTTAAGTTTCCTCCATGTCTTTCTGTGGCTTGATAGCTCCTTTCTTCTTATTGCTGAATTATGTTCTGTTGTCTGGATGTTCCACCATTTATTTTTCCACTCAGCTACTGAAGGACAGCCTGGTTCCTTCCGGTTGTTGGCAATTATGAATAAAGCTGCTATAAACGTTTGTGTGCAGGTTTTTGTGGGGATATAAGTTTTCAGATCGTTTGGTAAACACCTAAGAGTGTGATTGCTGGAGTCTATGTAAGCTTGTGTTTAGCTTTGTATAGAACTGCCAAACTGTCTTCCACAGTGGCTATACTGTTTTGCCTTCCCAGGTGGTTGATGTTAATATTGGTGATAAAGCAAACTGCAACTCATCACAGATAGCCTCTGAAGGATCCTGGGCGGAGCGTCTACTGCCTCCCTGTTACTGCAGACTCTGCTGACCAACCCCCAGGCCCTTCAGGACAGAGACTGGCCCGCCTGCTGTGAAAGCTCAACACAGCAGGCCTCTCCTCACCAAGCGCTGGGCTCCTGCTAGCCCCAGAAGTACTTTCCCCAGGAACACAGTCAGCTCTCATGTATGTGCCAGCCCCATGCGAGGCAGTGAGGACTGAACAGCAAGCTTAGTGCTCAGTGCCCTCTACCTGCCACCATGGAGCTCACCTCCCAGGGAAAAGCCAGCCTTACTGGCCCCAGATGAGGTCCTGCACCAAGTGTCTCTCCTTGTTCTCTTTCTTAATTCTTGCTTCAACCCTGTGAAGTAGGAAGTAGGTTGCATTATTATGCCCCTTTTGCTGGTAAAAATCTGATGCAGAGAGAAGTTAAGTCACTCACCCAATGTCACACAGCTGGTCAGTGGCAAGACAAGGCTGGCTCTGAACCACCAGGCAGTATGGCCTCCTGGGAGCTACAGACACTGCCACAGGGCCCATGATCTGGCCGTCCTCCCAGCCACAGCCACTCACGGCAGGGTGGCCATGTGCTCATCTTCCAGCAGGTGGAAGATGAGTGTGGGGGCATGAGTGTTTGTGGCCACACATTCACAGACAGATACTGCACTCCTACCTTCCCAGAGTCTTCCCACACCCAAGGCAGAGAGAAGAGGGATTGATGACAGGGAGAGAAAGGGATGTCGGGAAAAGCCTTGGCCAACAGCACTCTGGTCAAGGGTGTGTTTCTTCCTCACGACAGCAGGCTTGAGCCAGAGCCCCTGCACTCTACTCCTTGAATGCTGCTTCCGTTTCTCACCTTTGGGAAGAGCCAGGAGCATCTGTCGTGCAGAGGCCAGCTCCTGACAGACAGCACCAGCTACTCACCAATCAGGGACTGGAGAGAGAGAGCTTAGATGATGCCCTCCTGCCCTTTTTCAGCCATTTTTGGAGATTGGAGAAAACAAGTCATTAGTCTTGAGTATTCCTTAATGATTTAATGAGAGCAAGGCAAGCCAGGTAGTCGGGTTTCAGAGCACCCAGGTCAGGGCCTGGGAAGGCACCTGAAATGATTAAGAACCTTGTTCTGACTGCAGAGGCATGAACTCATGCTGTATCTATCCAGAGGTGAGGGGCACCTGGAAGGTTGGGTGGGGGAGAGGCAGTCACTGCTAACTCGGAAGGTCACTAGCTAATTTCACATTCTTAAAATTGAATCATAATTTTATTTTTCTAAGTCGGAAGAAACTTTGAGACTACCCCCTCGTTTTGTAGATGGGAAGACAGAGGGGACGAGGCTTATTCAGAGCTCCTGTCAGTCTCCTCCTATCTCCCAGGTCTGGATTTTTTTTTTCTTTTTTAATTTAGCATTATTTTTTGAAGCTTAAAGTACATTCCAAGAAAAAAAATCCAGGACACAGAAAAAAAATTACCCATGCTATTTATTCATTCCCACTTGGAGAAGCTGTTAGCTCTAATGACCTTTCCGAATTAATAAAATCTGTAAATGCTCAATTGTTTATTGCACACATTGAGTTATACCTCTAAGTAACTGGAAGAAACTGAACATCTGCCTGGAATATTTAGCTCCAGGGCTCTGCAGCCAGCAGTCATGCTTTGTGCCCTGGGCAGGGGAGCTATGGTTAGAATTCCCTGAGAAAGGAGGCAAGGCACTCCAGCAGCCATGGTGTACTCAGCCCTGAAGTAGAGCCTGCGTAGACAAAAAATGTTAGCAATAATCGTTGCTCAGGGTTCATTTCAGGGACTTATTAGAAGAGGCCAGATTTTCAGACAAGAACATAAGATAGTACCTAAGCAAGTGACTGATGACCGGCTGTGGCATTCAGAGAAAGTACAAGTGGGAGGGATCTGGAAGGCTTGATGAGGGAGGTGGACTTTGATGTGGACCCAGTAGAAAGAGTACGATTAGGTCAGATGGTGGGCATAGGAAGGGGCTTTCTAGGCCGGGGGCATGAAGCAAACAAAGGGTAACAATGAGAGTGTCATAGGAGTCCAGGATGTTTGGACTTCAAGAGGCAGGAACAGGAGAATCCTGTCTCTCAATGCTCAGACCCCTCTGTCTGAAGCCACATTGCACAAACATCATGCTTATGAGCCATGGGCTCTGATATAATTTGGCTTTCCCCACTGAAATCTCATCTTGAATTGTAACCCCCATAATTCCCATGTTCTGTGGGAGGGACCCAGTGGGAGATCATTGAACTATGGGGCTGGTTTCCCCCATACCATTCTTGTGGTAGCAGGTGAGTTCTCATGAGACCTGATGGTTTTCTAAGGGGCTTTTCCTCCTCTTTGCTCTGCACTTCTTCTTGCTGCCACTATGTGAAGAAGGATGTGTTTGCTTCCTCTTCCACCATGATTGTAAGTTTCCTGAGGCCTCTCCAGCCATGCAGCACTGTGAGTCAGTTAAACCTCTCTCCTTTATAAGTTACCCAGTCTCGGGTATGTCTTTATTAGCAGTGTGAGAACATACTAATACAGGCTTCCTGGCCATCACACTGTCCAGTATATACATCCTTGGGTCCTGGTGAGTCTCCTTGTCCAAGCTTGAGAATGACACAAGTCACTCTGACTTCTAAGATGAAGATGGACAGAAGTCTTGCAGAGAACCAGTGTGGAGGTGTATGCTGTGCTGTTGTTGCAGGGGGATTTTTATTTTAGCCATTTGTTAAGTGTGTAATTCATTGACGTTAAGTACATTCACACTGTTGTGCAATCGTTACCACCATCCATCCTAGAACTTCTTCATCTTCGCGAACAAAACTCTGTCCCCATTAAACAATAACTCCTCATTCTCCTCTCCCTGCCCAGCCCCTGGCAACGGCCGTTCTACTTCCTGTCTTTATGGATTTGACTTTTCTAGGTAACTCATATAAGTGGAATCATACAGTATTTGTCTTTTGTAACTGGCTTATTTCACTTAGCATAATGTTTTGGAGGTTCATCCATGCTATAGTGTGTATCTGAATGTCCTTCCACTTTAAGGCTAAATAAAATTCTGCTGTATGTATATACTATGTTTGTTTATCCATTCCTCTCCCAATGGACATTTGGGTTGCCTCCATCTTTTGGCTGTTGTGAACAATGCTGCTATGAATGTGGATGTACAGATATCTGCCCCAGAGCCTTGCAGGAGGATTGAGCTTTAAAAAAAAAAGTGCTTCCAGCTTTCAAATGATCAGGGCTGATCTGCCGGCCCTCGCTGCTATAGCTTTACAAGGAGCAGCTTGCCAGCTTGCCGCTGCCTGTGTGCTGAGACCGTCCTCCCTTGAGCAGAGCTGCACAGTACCCTCTGCCAGGGACACAGATCGAAGCTGGCCTCTCGTGCCCACTGTCTTTCCCCATTGCGAGCTAAGCTGCTCAGTCTGTGCTTCAGCCAGTGTCAAGGCCTCTTTGCCTTCACTTCTTATCCTGAAGTGCATCAGTCATGTCGAATTTGTCCCTCACTGAGGTAGCAAATGCTTTGTCCTCTCGCTTGGTAAATTCTTTCCCCCACCTTTGAAAATGTATTTAGCCACGATTGTAAAAGCCAAGTAAAGTAACTCATGAGCAGTCTCCCCTCCTGTCTAAGGATCTTCCCACTTCCCTACTCCCTCCAAATATCCACATATGCATCAGCAGAACTAAAGGGCATCCTGTCTTGAAACATCACTGCCTCTGGGCGTTAATTGCCCAGACTCACATTACAACACATTACAGCTGTGACATACTCAGGCGAAATGCAGGAGAATTCACAGTTCAGGTTAGCGTTGTCATTAACTCAAGTCTTTGGTGTCAACTCTCTCTCGCCCCGAACGTTCCTGCCTGGCCTTACAGTCAACCTCCACGATGCATTTTCTGGCCTTTGTTGGTTTGTGTCAGCTCTTGAACATTATTTAAATGTAGTTTGGGGTCCATGAATGCAATTACCATTGTGTTATTATTCAGAGCCAGATTGTTAAGATGCAGGCAGCTGTACAAGGAGATGCCCTGTGCTGTGAGGTCCAATTTAGGAAGGCCTTCCGAGCTGCACGCGCAGGGTTGCTAGGCAACCCCATGCTACAGAAGTGGAGGCCTCACTCCGGAGTGGGAAGAAGCCGGGGCGCCTTCAGGGAATTGGAGGCAGTGGTCAATCTGAGACTGGCACAGCGCCGGGGAGGGAGAGGGAGGCGGCGTGGGCCAAGCCCATGGGCCTGGAGGGGTGGGATCCTGCGAGGAGTGAGGGGCGCCCACCCAACTAGCACGCGGTGTGCCCGGGGAGGGGGGAGCGCTGCGGGGAATGAGAACACAGAGAAGGTGCAGAAGCTTGAGGTCGGCCAGGAAACCGCTGAGGATACCCAGAGCAGATGCTAATATGATTCTCCGTCCCTTTCTTCTCTTTGCAGGAAATGAGCAGATTTGCAGAAAAACTGGTGTCCTGAAATTTAAGACTAAGACATCGGTGCTTGTGAGTATGAATTTTGCTTTTTTAGTTCTGTGGCCTAACAATGTTCCTGGGAAGTGGGTGGATTTCTCTGTTAGGGGAAGAGAACATGGTCTGGATGGGATCGGCTTTTGGTTCTTCTTCTGGAGGGTTCCTCCATCAGGGTGGGGCTGAACCCAGGAATGTAAGACATTGAGTTGAAGGAGGGTGGTTTGAACCCTGGCTCTGCCCTCTAAGAGGAGAATGTTCCTACTGGCTCATGAAACAGTCACTCCCTTGACTTGATTGCTGTGCAGGAGAACAGGACTCCTCTAGAAAAAAGAGAGATGTGCATTTTTTTTACTTGGGTCCACAAACAGTTTGTACAACTCTAAGTTTCCTGCTAGGTTGACCCCCTATTCAGAACAGTAAATTCTCATAGAGGCCGTTTAACAATGTGTTAAACTAAGTGCAGTCACAGGAACCAATCTATTAATCCATCTGAGAATGTTATTAATCACCAGGTGCCAGGCATCACCTGGAGGCTCTGGGAAATCCACAAGAACGAGCAGGCATAGGCTCTGTTTTGGAGGAGCTTTCAGTCCAGTGCAGGAAGAGAAGACACCTGCACATGAGACAAAGAACTTTATGACAAGGTGTATGCACCAGCTCTGGCTGGCATGGCCTGGGAAGAAATGCTACAGATGGAAAATGGTTAGGGAAGACTTCCTGGAGAAGGAGAGGTCTGAACTGGAGGAGGGAAGCCATTCCAGGGAGGAAGGAACAGGGCAGATGCCCATGCGGAGGATGGTGTAGGCATGGGTCTGAGGACAGGAGGAGAGAAGATGCTGGTGAAGTTGGACAGGGCCAGGTGCTGGAGGGCTTGGCATGACTTCAGGAATGGTCCAGATGCAAAGAGTCAGGGTGGAATAAAGGATTCTTCATCTATATAAATAAAATTTAGTTTCGGCCAGTTTGTCGGCCACTCCATGACATGAAAATGGCTGCGTGAATTTTTCACCAAACTTGAGGTTGTATTTGAGATCAGTCTAAACACTGAGTAGATTACAGGAAATTTACATTGGAGATCTTCCCTTTGTCTCAGAGAGAGAGAGTTAGGGAGACACAAAGAGAAACAGAATGACAGAGAGAGAGGGAAACTTCTCCAGACAGCTGCGGTCATGGGCTACCAGAGCCTTGTGAGGCCAGTAATGGGGTCACATTCTGAGCTCCTGGTGGACAGTCACCAATACAGCACTCCCAGCTATCCACCTGCTTTTTCCCAGAGCCGCTTCTCACACAGGGAGCTCTGGATACTGTGCTCAGGATGAAGGGTGGCTGGGATTTATTTATTTAATGATGATTAATTAATATATGTTCCAAGCACGCAGGAGAAGTAGCTAGTTCTAAATCTCCATCACAACAGCCAGTATGCACATAGCATTGTATTGCCTCAGAGGTGCTTTACAAAGGCTCTGTCAGGTATTCCCATTTTGCAGATGAAGAAACTGAAGCCCAGAACCACTCAATCTTTGCTGTAGTTTGCTCTGCTAGTAAGTGGTAGAGCTGCCTAAGAAGTTCACACTGACTTTCCACTGCACATAACCGGACATCGCTCTGATGATGCAACAGGCTTTTATTGGCTCAGCCCCTGCCTCCTGCTTATTCATCCTGGGGAAGAAGCGTAATTGTTGTGCTGTTCCATGGGGTCTGGTTGTCGGAACCCTGTCTGTTCTGGATGTTCGTGTTTTGCTATTGCTGGCTCTTGTGGACTGTATGATGTCAGACTGGTGGTCTTCAGCAAGGCAGGAAGGTGGTTATGGTGCCTTCAAGGAGGAATGCACCTGGGACTTGCAGCTCCTGGGCTAACCCTCTGAAAAGATGCTGGAGGGTTTCATTTGCGCTACTGGCAGCTGACTTAGGTTGGGCTTGCTAGAAGCAGAGCCTGAGACAGGTGTCGGTGGCATGTGATGCAGCCGCGGAAAGTTCTCAGGAAATGCTTGTCAAGGAGGGAGGGAAGCAGGATAGAGAGGCAGGAGCTGAGTGAGAATGTGGTCTCAGGGCAGGTCTCCTTGGGCTTGGTCCATGTCAGCGGCACTGCAGTGATGTCTGACTTGGAGGCTGGGGACAGGGCTTATGCATCCCCTTATTTGGTCAGCAGCTGCCCCAGTGTTGCTGGTGGTCCCGCCTCCAAGGCATCACCTCAACCAAGAGTAAGGACCCGAGAATGTCATGAGGGAAAACTGTGTGCCACGCTCAGCAGCTGGGGAGTGGGTACCCCCAGCAGGTACAGAGACCCCGGCAGGGCATCAATTGCATTTATTCTCATGCCTGTGATACCACCATTGTAAACACAGCCAAATGTCATTTTCACTGACCTGGCAGTAATTTTCACTGCAGTAAGGTTGTATTTTGGGAGTATAGGTATTAAAATGGAAATGAGTGCCAAAGTCTGGTTTTCTCAATGGAGTGTTTAAAACGCATAAGAACTTTACAAACATTTTCAAACTCTTTAGAGTTGCTATATAAACAATTGATATGAGAATTGTATATTATTTTTAATTCTAATTGCAAATAATCAATTATTTTTATTTCTAATTGCAAATAATAATTATTATTTAAAGCAAAGTACACAGTTTGAGGAACTGCACGACAGCCCCTGGAATTCCCAAATATTTAAAATAATTTAAAATGTCACTAACTTCACTATTTAGTGCAAATGATTGAGGTCTCCTTGCATGTATTACCTGAGGTGATTTGCATATTATTTAATGACTTACTGAAATATGTATTGTTTCCAAAGTGCACTTAGATCTCCTGTATTGTCAGCACCATGTGAGTTTTCACTGTGGCTTCCTTTTATGAAATGATTTGACTATGATTTGGAGGTACTTTCTCAACACAGGATCTGGTCCAAGACGGAATGGGTTCTTTTGGTGGTAAGCCCCCTCTGAAACAGTAGCTAGGTCATCTGTCAGCACAGTTACACAGCTGATCCACCCTGCCTGACAGCAGGCTTAGAAGATGCCTAAGGTCCTGTCATAGCTGAGTCACCTCTGTACATCTTCAGTATCATGATGGCCTTTATAGGCCGTTTATCTCACTTGAAATCCAGGCTGCGGGGCTCATACTGGGCACTTAACTTCTGAAGTTTGGTCTCGAAGGCTTTGTTCAATGCCTGTATGCATTTTCCAAATTGAGCTTATTTTGTAATTTAGTAGGCCTGGCAGATATGTTTTTCTCTTGCAAGCAAGCTCCCTTCTTCCCATTCTCCTTCATGTTTACGCTCTCTCTCAGGCTACAAGAAAATCCTCTAACTTGTTCATGACCTGTTCCAGCCCCAATACAGATTTTGGTGGCACCCCCATGAGGCAATGAAAAAAAAATCTCATTTCTGTTCAAGAAATAGAATCATTATCTTGATTGAAATAATATCTTTCCTCAACCTGCAACCAGATAAAGCATCAAATTGGTGGAGTTTCCTTATCACTGCACGGAGTTTGCAGGACACAGAATAATGGCCTGTCAGCTGCCTCTGGTGGGGTGGGTTCTGTAACACAGAGCCCACAGCTTCTGGCCTGGTTTGGATTATACTGTGTCTGATGCAATGTAAATAATTCAATTAATGACAAATATCATTATATTAAGAGAAGAAGGTAGCGTAGAACCTAAAACAGAATAAGCAGTATTGTTTTTATTAGCTGCATCTAATGCATAGGCAATGGTGGGGGTGACTGAAGGCTACAGATGTTTATATCCTTTTAGTATGTGAGAGCTCTGGAACCCTGCAACCCCTAGGCCTGAGCTTCCAAGGCTTTGCGGGGAGTAAGGGGGTGACTGGGCTTGAGAAGGTGGACCAGTTCCTGGTTTTGGATAGCAAACAGGACAGCCAGAGGCCAGCAAGCCGATATGTTTAGGAAGAAGGCTGAAAGAGCTGTGGGTAGGGAGGCAGGGGGTCTGGATTACAGTCCTGATTCGCCGTCACCGTCATGCAGCTTTGGGCTCTTCGAGTCTCAGTCTCCTCTTTGTTCAGAAAGGACAACATGGGGTACGAGGAGAAGAAGGTGAGGCAATGTTTGTGCAAAGCCCATAACACCGGCTATATCTTTGATCCTTCCTGTCCCTTGTCCACTGAGTGGGGAGGCTCTGCTCCAGCCCAGGCAGGTCTGCCAGGTGGTAATATGCTGATTCCCACAAACATTCTTTTCTTATGCACCGCTCAGCTCACAACACTCCTGCTTGGAAGGTTTCCTTAGCCTTAGAGAGCAAGGAGATAGAGTGGAATATGAACAGCATTAGCTCAGACTCCAGTCCAGTCCAGTCCAGTCCTTGCTATCTGCTTGCCCCATGGCTTGGCCTCAGTTCCCTCCTCTATGAAAACAAAGGGGTGACTCAGGGATCTCAGGGACTTACCTTTCTAAGCAACTACTCTGTGACCGGCACTATTTCAACCATTTTACAATTATTAATTTACATAATCCTCACAACAATCCTGTGTATTAGAAACTTATACTATCTGCTTTTTACAAGGGAAAGTAACAGAGAGGTTAAGTAACTTGTTCAGGGTCACACAGCCAAAAAGTGCTAGAATTAGAATCTGAAGCCCAGCAGACTGGTTAGAAAACTTAAAATGGACTGCATCAGGACTAAATAGTACAGGTCAAACAGCCTGGGCTTTCACCAGACCCTAAACCATAATCCTGTATTACAGAGAAGTAGTAATAAAAATTGCATCTTTGTGATGTTCTAAGAGTCCACAGAGGCTGTTCCTATGCTAGGTGGGAGGTTGAATGATATTCTGACCAAGATACCTGATGCTGGTAGCTCAGATCTCTTACCTTGAATCCCACAAAACTGGCTAGCTGTGTATACACAGTAGAACATCAAGGTACGCAGGCCCCGTCCTCCCACTTACTTGCCCTCATCTGGCCTACCCCCCATCTCCTGGCAGGGCCCTTCTGGGCCCTTGGGACTATGCTGTCTGCCAGGACTTCCCCAGAGAAGGAAACCATCCCTTCCAAACATTGCCCATGCCTGCTTCACTT